CCGATAATCGATACATAACCGTAGATCTTTGTTCTTCTTCCAGACGAAGAGAACAGGGGCGCCGTATGGCGAGCAACTAGGGCGAATCCAGCCCTTGTCGAGAAGGTCATCGAGTTGTGCGCGAAGCTCCTCGAGTTCCTCTTCGCTCATGCGGTAGATACATCCACGCGGAGGGACGGCGCCAGCCTCGAGAGTGATCCCGTGACGTATGGGCCGATCCGAAACCGTTCCGGTGGGAGCCTCAAAGACGTCTTTATACTCGTCCAAGAGGTGAGAAATGCGTGGGTCCGGCGGTGACGCGGCTGGTCCGCCCGGCGAGGGAAGAGCATGCAACAATACAAGGTCCATCTCCTCGACGTCATTCCGAGCTATGGCGTCGTGAATTCTCACAACGGAAACCACGTGACAAGCAATCGAAGTGTGAGGGGTCGCGACCGTACATGGGACTAACACTCCGTTCCGATCACGGATGTGAACGGTTCGGTCATGGAAGTTCACCAGATGATCGGCGCTACGCAACCAAGACATGCCTAGAATCATGTCGAACTTGGTGTCGAGGATGTCAAAAGACACCGGCTCGCACGCAAGTGGCGCAAAGTATACCGGAACGTCGTCGACGCATCGGTCAATTGACTTTTGCATGCGGCCGTCCGCGAGTGTAACTTGCGTGGGTTGCGTCTTCCTTCGAACGCGCGGGCCAAGACCTGCGCGGGCCAAGACCTGCGCGAGACGCTCCGCAATCAATCAAGGCACTACAGGTTGCCTTTCCGATTTGAATGCGGATATAGAGCAAAGGAGCGTCGGTTTCGGCGTACCTTCGGGTGGCGTACTCACGGTCAATCTTCGCAAGATAGGAGCGGAGATCGACAACCGCTACCCCGTCGTCCGTCAACGGAGCTGGTACTGTAGTGTGCAAATAGGAGCGTAGAGTTGCCATCAAGGCGTTGCAATGCGGCCTTGGCAAGGTTCCGGTCGAGGGTAAAGGCATCCACGCGAAGTCCTCTCTCGTGAGCGGGTCAAGCTCCTCAAGTCTTGACCACGCTGTCGAGTCCTCGGAAATCAGTGGTGAACTGACTGGATCACTTGTCGACGGTGTACAGGCTGCGCATACACTAGCTAAATGCACGTGGCTTGGCTGGTCTAATGGTGGTACCAGCTGGGCGGCATAATCCTCGTACGTAGCACGAGAATCAGCGACTAACGCATGCTCCCCGGTAGTGACATCGATTGCTAACAAGGCAACCGGGTCCGGCGGAGTGAGGAGAGACGTCGCCCCTCTCGTTGCGTAACTCAGTTTCCTGAGTTTGCTGGACGGAGTACGCGTGCCTTGCCCTTTTCGGGGCATTGTGCAGTCAAGTGTGTGACCCCATTGCACCAAAGGCAATATCTGTACTTCTTACGAAGTTCATAGACTTCCTTTGTGATGTTGTAGGCCGTCCATGGCTGCTGCCCAGTTCGCGTCGATGTCGTCTCTTGTGTCGCCTTGGGTTTTCGGACCCTCTTAGGACGCTTCGGCGGGAGCGCTGCTACAATTCCTCCATCACTCGAGGATGTTGCTGCAGCGTGGAGATCGTCTGTTCCTTCAGAAATTACGGCATTGTTATGTGTCGAACGTTGATAGCCCTGCTTAGCCACATAATGCGGCTGGGATTGTTTCTCGTTAGCGGCCTTGTCGTCCGTTTGGATGACCAGGTTTGCGCGATCCAGGATGGCCTGGAACGAGGTATAGTCGTACTCATTGCCGAGTGCCGACCGCAATCCTGCGCACGATCGCGAGAAGAACTCGGATCGTTGATTTGGAAAAGTCAAATCGAAGCCTGGCGTGGTCACTATCTT